TGTTAAAAATATTGTTCCACAACGCATATGAATGCACGTTGTTGATTACATGTTGTCATAAGTTATTTTTCTTGTAGTGCACGGTAAAGAACCCAAGATACTCGAACTTCTTTTTGGCCATAATTCATTTATTGGAATTCCATCTGTCTCAAGCACTTTTAACGAGTTCATGTTCCTCAGCATCTCAATTGATAACTCCTTTAGATTTGAGCAACCAGATATAATAAATGTTTCAAGTGATTTTAGCATACAAATGTTCTTGGGAAGCATCCTAATCCTTTTGCAATCTTTCATATTCAAGTAAATAAGTCTCTCTAGGTTTCCAATGGATCCATGGACATAAATCAGGCTCATGCAGTCTACTAGAACCAATTTCTCTAGATTTGGGCAATATGAGAAGTCAATGGTTTCTGAAAGGGAATGAGAATGGCTGAGATCAAGGATCTTCAAGGACGGAAGATACTGTAGAGGAAAAAATGTACATAAGAAAACAATGTGGGGAGTTAATTGTTATAAATATATAATTTGTTATCAAACTAAAAACCTAATGAAAATGAAAAAGAAATTGAAAAGAGTAGAGAGTAACATACTTTTGTTCCCTTGAATACTTGTCTCAGACCGCTGTATTGCATTTCAAGAATAATAATGCTCCCCAAAGGAAAATCAACGGGCATAGAATCTAAAGGAAATTCAAGCCAACACAACCATCTTAGTCCACTACAAAATTTTGCGTAACATCCGCGGAGTTTTACTTGACTAAGATGGAGTAGTTTTAGTTCTTGCATCCTTGAAAATGCATTGGTTTCCAAGACTTTCTCATTTGATTTTATAGTAGGGCACATGTGCATGTCAAGCACAAGACCTTCAATTATTTTCGTACCCTACAAAAGAAAAGGAAAAAACATTTGGAAAGTTTTTAGAAGAGGAAAAACAAAATGTGTACAAATAACACATATTTCTTACATTCTTTTCCGTCAAGATTTTGAAAGAGTCCTTATGATGCCATACTCTACTACGCTTCCAAGGCTCCTTTGATTCTAGGCGAACAATTTCTCTTCCCATTCCACGAATCAGGTCATGCATCTGCACCTTGTCCCATCCGTCAATTATCGTCACCAAACATCTATCGATGAGATTTTGAATGCCAACAATTGTATAGAAATCACATCCATCTAGTATTCTAACAATGTAATCTTTGTCCATCCCAACAAAGAAACAAGCAATGTGGAGGAATAATTTTCGGTCATGGTCATCTTGCAAAGAGTCATAGCTTACTCTTAATTTATTTATTATTTCACCATTTGGAATAGCTTCTAACTTCTCCAATGCACTTTTCCATAGACATATACTTTCCCCCAACAAAGAAGAACCTAAAACTTTGAGAGCTAATGGAAGTCCTCCGCAATGATCGACTAGCTTCTCTGAATATTCTATGTAATCTTCAACAGGATGGTCTTGGCCAAAAGCGTGCCAACTGAAGAGCTCCAATGATTCTTCTTGAGTCAAAGTTCCAACCGCATACACCTCAGTAACTTGATGAGCCTTTAACAATCTTGCACGCCTAGTTGTTATGATGATTTTACTTCCTGGATAAAATTGAGCTTTCATTTGAAATATTGCATCTAGTTGGTCCATATGATCCACATCATCGAGAACAAGAAGAACCCTTTTAGAGCTTATTGCATCTTCAATCTTAATTAATCACTCACTAACATTGCTTATTTTCATTTTTCTCCCATTCAAAATGTTAGAAAGAAGTTGTGTTTGTATTTGAACTAAGCCATTGGGTTGCTGTGAAACTTCTTTGATATTTTCAAGGAAGCTGCTTCCTTCAAATATTCTAAAGTTAGAATTGTAAACAGTCTTTGCGATGGTTGTTTTCCCTATTCCACTCATCCCATATATTACAAGTATGCCAACGTCAGTTGACCTTCGTTTTAACCATAAATTAATTCTTTCGACTCGAGAATGCATTCCAACCAAGTTGGGAGCAACACTCAATGGCGTGCGACTTAGTTTGTCTCCAATCACCATAACTATTTTCTTGATAAACTTTGACTCGTACCTAGAAAATTGCAATCAAAATGAAAGAGAATTCAAACATGCATGCATGATTTCATATACTTAAGTTATAAAATACCACGGAAATAAGTTCAGAAAGTTAGAAGGTACAAATATATAGGTATTTCTCTGTCTTTGCATCTCAGTCCCAGATGCGTTTAGAAGAATCTGGATTGCTGAGGGTGTCTTGAGTGTTTTTGTGGATGTGCTGGATATAAGGGTTATTAAAGAATCTATCAAATTTTTTTCTTTCTTTTATTTGAAAGGACAGATGTAACATCCCGACCCAAAATTTAAAGACTATTCACTAATTTATTAAATTGAAAATGGAATTTCCAATTTTGCCCTTGAAGTGGGGGCAAAAAGGTCAATTTCTTATCCGGAGTGAGTTTGGGGCAGCAAGTGGTATTTTTAGATAGGTGGTACTGAGCCGAGTCCGTAGACACGCGGTAGGCCCGATTCGGATTTGAAACGAAGAAGTTACGATCGAAAAACCATCGAGGGCCTATTTGGAATTATATTCAGAAATTCATTTTAATAAAATCAGATTTTCAGATTTTATTTCTCATTTCTCTCTCTCCTCCCTCACGCGTTCTCTCCTCTCTCTCTCTCCCCGTTTCCGTCGCTCTCTCTCTCTCTCTCTTCAAATCTCCGGCCACAGCCCACGGCAGCGCACGAGACCG